AATTAAGCCATGGGATAAGCAAATTGCAAGTACAGTCTGCCAGCTAAGATTGGCTTTAACATTTTTAAAAGGCTGTTTATATATATATGTGTGACAGTCTGTTTATGGCCTGCAAAGCCTAAAATATTTATTATATAGACAAAGTTTGCCAAATCCTTACTTAAGCCATTCTTCATAGTAATATAACTTTTTGTTTTTTTAAAAATGTACCCTCTAGAGCTGTTAACCCTATATTTAGCATAAACGGTAAATAAATTATTCACACTCAAATGAATTTATTGATAATTTCTTAGCTAATATACTGTTTGCTCCCCAAGTACGTAACAATCACTGAACAAAAGCACACACAGACTACACATATGCAGTAATGAACTAGATTAGAATCTATGAAGAAATGATAGATGTGCCATAAAAAATATTTTTTTGTTTGCAAATTATAAATTAAAAAAAAAATCTAACTCAAAGATAAACATCCCATGCTCCTTATAACCCAGTCATAGCACAGAGTTGACTGCAGTGCATTATTTTCAATGTTTAATTCAGCTAGGACTATAAACCTAAATCTTTTATTTACCTTTAATGCCTGCCCATTAAATATAGGTGCCACTTTAGGCTTAAACTCCTTCCCTATTTTCTTCTATTTCCTATCATCCTTTTCATCAGGGTGATTTCTCATGGTCTCAAGTACTACCTTCAATCCAAAGACTCAAACTTAAATTACTAATCTTGACATCAAGGGAGCCCTGGTGGTGCAATGGTTAAGAGCATGGCTGCCAACCGAAAGTCTGGCTGTTCGAAAACACACAGTGGCTCTGTGAGAGAAAAGACCTGGCAATCTGCTCCCGTAAAGATTACAGCCTAGAAAACCCTATAGGGCAATTCTACTCTGTCACATGGGGATGCTATGAGTCGAAATTGACTCAGCAGCACCGAACAATAACAATTCTGACACCAGGAGTCTGGGTGGCACAAGCGGTTTGAACCCACCCAGGAGCTCTGTGGAAGGCCTGTCGATCTGCTTCTGTCAAGACTACAGCCAAGAAAACCCTATGGAGCAGCTCTATTCTGTCACACATAGGGTCATCATAAGTTGGGGGCTGACTGAAAGGCAGCTAACAACAACAATCTCAACATCTCTTCTGGCTCTGGACCTGAATTTCCAAATACCTGTCTGACTTATCTATAGATGGCCCCTTCACAAATCATGCTGAACATGTTACAAATAAAATTCCTCTCTTCCCTCCATGAAATATTCTTTTCTGCTTATGTACCTTCTCTGATGTAATGAGCTTTCTGCCTTGGCATACAAATAAGAAATTATGTCACTTTATCCTTACAACGGGGGCATTATTGGTTCAGGGGTAGAATTCTCACCTTCCACGGGGGAGACCCGGCTTCGATTCTTGACCAATGCACATCATGCACAGCCATTACCTGTCTGTCAGTGGAGGCTTCAGTGTTGCTATGATGCTGAACAAGTTTCAGCAGAGCTTCCAGACTAAGACTAGGAAGAAACACCTGGTGATCTACTTCTGAAAAGCAGCCAGTGAAAACCCTATGGCTCTGCAATCAATCATGGGGATAGTGCAAGAGCAGGCAGCGTTTTGTTCTGTTGTGCTTGGGTCACCATGCGTTGGGACCTACTCGACAGCAGCTAACAACTACTGTCTCTTAACTTTTCATTTACTTGTTTTATCAAAGATCACATATGTTGAAAACAGAATATGTTGAAGGATTAATCAATGAATTTTAAGCACATAAAATGCACTAATTTTAAGTGTACAACGATTTATTTTTACTTCAGTAAAACTAACCCCCACATCAAGATATGGAGCACATATTTTACACATGAATGTCATGCTACCTCCCATAAAGTTTCTTAAATGTTACACCTGATACTTTTTTATGAATATGTTGTTGTTGTTGTTAAGTGCCGTCGCATCGGTTCCGACTCATAGCAACCCTATGCACAACAGAACGAAACACTGCCTGGTCCTGCACCATGCTCAATTGATGTTATGCTTGAACCCATTGTTGCAGCCACTGTGTCAATCCATCTCATTGAGGGTCTTCTTCTTTTTCACTGACCCTGTACTTTACCAAGCATGATGTCCTTCTCCAGGGACTGACCTGTCCTGACAACATGTCCAAAGTATGTAAGACATAGTCTTGCCATCCTTGCATCTAAGGAGGATTGTATTTCTTCCCAGACAGACCTGTTTGTTCTTTTGGCAGTCCATGGTATATTCAATACTCTTCGCCAACACCACAATTCAAAGGTGTCAATTCTTCTTCGGTCTTTCTTATTAATTCTCCAGCTTTCACATGCATATGAGGCAACTGAAAACACCATGGCTTGGGTCAGGTGCACTTTAGTCCTCAAGGTGACATCTTTGCTTTTCAACACTTTAAAGAGGTATTTTGCAACAGATTTGCCCAATGCAATTTGTCTTTTGATTTCTTGACTGCTGCTTCCATAGGTGTTGACTGTGGATCCAAGTAAAATGAAATCCTTGACAACTTCAATCTTTTCTCTGTTTATCATGAATATAAAATAACTTATTAAATGCTTCAATTCTGTCTAATAAAAATACCGTTCCCTATTTCTATTTCTCTGGGTTATGGTCTCCATTACTTTTAAACTCTTGTTATCTTTTGTTTAACACAAATGTATGTATCTGGGGTTAGAGAATGATTTTGGGCCTAAGTTGAAGTTTTTTAACGTAGGTAAATTAATCAGCTCACGAGTGTGATAACTCATCTGTTTTCTGGCAGTTTATTTTATGCTAATTTTAATGTTTCCTTACTGTTTTTCTTGTGTAGTTTCCTTCCTTCAAAAAATTAGAATGTATATATTCTATTTTTGTCTGTAACAGTTAAACCTCAATGTAAAATTTACTTACAATGAACTATATGAAGTAATAACTATTGAATTCTCCTAGGCTGGATGTATGTAAAACAAGGTTTTTTCTACCCCTTCCCAACCTGTGGTTTGGAAAGTTCTTTTTACACTATCAACTTTAACATAAAAACAAACTTAGTATTTTTATTCTGTATAATTAAAAAAAGGGAAATGAAACTGTATCTACTACTTTCATATTTTGTTAGATTAACATTTAGCATACCTTTATGCTACTTGCCCTGTCTATAAAGACAAAGCCCATTTATTTTATGTTTAGCTTAAGAATCTGTATATCTTTACCTACAGTATTACACACTAAAAATAAACCAGTATTTATTTGTCCTATATACTGAACATTTAGCATGACCCTTTCACAGCTTAAAATGATATAAACTGAAATTTTAGACCCAGCTTACAAAATTGTTTGCATTATTTTAAATCTTATATGTAACAATTTAGATAAAGGCCTGGTGATGTGCTTCCGTAAAGATTACAGCCAAGAAAATCCTATGAAGCAGTTCTACTCAGTAATAACGGGGTTGCCTGAGTCTGAACTGACTCCATGGCAACAGGCAGACTTAATGCTATTTAACTAGTTTTAATGCTTACCATTAATTCTTTCATACAGTTGTCCCTCTTCTCTTGAGTTATTTTAATTCCTGATCTCTCTTGGCTGCTGTATATCTTCTGGCAAATTTTTCAGGAACAGTACTTGAGTGGTATACTTTAACCCCTGCTTATATGAGATGTCTTCCCCTTGCCTTTGTACAGAAATAACCTGGCAAGGTCCATAACTTCTGGTTAAAAATTATTTTCCCTTAAAGTTCTGTAGCTATTGTTCCATTATTTTTGACATTTAGTGTTGCCAGAGGAAAATCTAAGATCAGCCTGATTTCTGCTCCTTTACAAATAATCTGTTTTCTCTGTCTGTATACATACAACATTTTTTTCTTTATCCTTGACATTTAAAAACGTCACCAAAATATTTCTATGTGCTTTCTTTTCATTAAATTTAAAGGTACCCTATGAGTTTTTCCATTTGCAGATCTAGATCGTTCTTCGACTTGGGAAAATTTTCTTCCATTAGTTCCTTAATTACTGCTGCAGTTCCATTTGCTTTGTCTTGTTCAAGCACTCCTATCATGCATTTCCTGAATCGGCCCTCCAGGTCTCTCTTCTTCTGTTTCCTTACATAGATTTCTTATCCCTTTTTGTCTGCATTCTGTGAGAATTTCTCGTTTCACATTTACTTTAGTAATTAGATTTTGCGCCTGATCCAACTTGCTCATTCTTATAGGATCCTTCATGATTTTGATTTCAATAATCTTATTACTTAAATTTTTCAACTCCATGACATTTTTCGTGTGGTCTGACAGTTTCCTCTGTATCACTGCCCATTCCTCTTTAAGCTCGTATACGGCAAGAAAACACTTATTATATCCTCGGTTTTCACCACTATATCCATTTCAAGAGGCGGCATTTTCTCAATTATTTAGCTTTGTTCATTTCTTCCGAACTGTGGTTATTACCACCTTGAAAACAATAAACAGAATTTAATTTGCTGCCGTTTGATTGATTCAATTTTTGTCATTTACCTCAATGTAAAATTTACTTATAATGAAGTGTCACTGATTATAGTTTTATTAAAATAGTTATTTTTCTCTCTTACCTTTTCAATAATAGCTCTACGTAGCAAGGGGGGGCCCAAAAGGAAGATTAAAGTAACTCTTCCAAAGCAAGGAAAAAAATACAAAGGACGTCAAAAAAGGTTCCTTTTACGTCATCTCTGCGCGCCCCACTTAAGGGCCAATAGCTTGGCGTGTAGCTTTATTGCTTAAGGGACAGAGCGCTCGGCAATCGCTAGGCTGCAAACTCTGGCCGGCCGAATCCATACGCATGCGCGGCGTCGGGGTCCTTTTCCGCCACCCAGCCCAACCTGAGCTCGGGAGCAGGGTCACGGTATTGCGCATGCGCAGCATCCGGTTTTTCTTTCTACTTGTCCCCAGTGGCGCGGTTTAGATCGGTACTGCCTTGAAGGCGGGGCTGGGTCTAAGCTGTGGCCAATGGTACCCAGGGTGAGGGTTGAGGGGTGGGGTGAAAGGTGCCTGTTAATCCGTGGTGCAGGTTTCTTCCAGCGCGTGTGCTGGGCTATCTGGTCGCCATGGAGGTAGTATTGATGGAAGAGCTTGATGAAGAGGAGCAGCTGGTGAGAAGGCATCGCAAAGAGAAGAAGGAGTTGCAAGGTGAAGGGGAAGTGGGAACCTAGAAGTTGCTTCGACCTAGGGAAAGGCGCGTGGCGGGTCAGTTCTGGGGAATCTTGAAGGGCGACTGGTCTGGATCCTCCTAGGTATCCCCAAAGTAGCACGTGGCTTTTCTTCCGGCTTCCCTGCCCCGGCTGCCCCTTAATTCCCTCTCCTTGCAAGGCTCCCTCTCCTTAGGCCCGCCGCGCACCCCTGTCCGCGCCCCCGCCCGAAGTTACCGTTGTGGACCCGGACCTTCTTTCCTCTCCCCGCCCTTCTTTCCTCTCCCCGCCCCTGCACCGTTTCCAGCCCCAGTTGCCAATGCTTGGCCCAAAAGGGGTGCATTTTGAGATGCCTCACCTCAGTTTGGGGGGCATCAGAAGAGATACTTGAAAGATTTAAAACTTGCATCAGTTTTTTTTTTTTTCCTCTTGACCCTGGTGGCGAAGTGGTTAAGACCTTGGCTGCTAACCAAAAGGTCAGCAGTTCGAATCCACCAGCCGTTCTTTGGAAGCACTATGGGGCAGTTCGACTCTGTCCAGTAGGGTCGCTGTAAGTTGGAATCGACTCGACGGCAATGGGTTTGGTGGCTTTTCAGCTAAAATTCAGAGTATGAAGAATGCTGTTCCCAAGAATGACAAAAAGAGGAGGAAGCAACTCATAGAAGATGTTGCTAAGTTGGAAGCAGAAATGGAGCAGAAACAGAGAGAGGAACTGGAGCAATTGAAGCTGACATCTAAGGAGAATAAGGTATGTGAAATGTTTGCCTGGCTTGGTCTACAGCACTTGAAAACAATTATCCACTTCTCTGAAACGGTTTACTGTATGAAATCATAAAATTGGTAGGGAATTGAAATCAGTTATGTTCAGGCATCACCTTTCATTAACATTTTTGATTAGGTGTGCAAAGTTACTTAATTTTCCTGACCACAAATTTCCCCACATATAATATGATGATACAAATACTGATACACAGATTGTTGGAAGTATCAAATGGAACAGCAAATGTGAAATCTTTTTAAATTATAAAAGCACTTTACAAACAGTTGTAATGAGTGAATTTTTTCTTCATGTTTCTTGGGTAAATTGGAGCATGCTAACTTTCATCATTTTAATTAATATTTGTTTTATCTTTGTAGCTAATATGTATTATGTGCTAGATATTTTAACATGTGGTATGTTTTATCTCATTTAATCCTCAGTACCTCACTCTGAGATACTCTTTAGGTAAGTGTAGGTAATCTCATTTTTCAAATGAGGAAATAGATTAAGAAGTTTGTCTCAAACTATTAAGCGACAAAGCCAGAATTCAAAATCGGAGCTGTCTTACTCTAGGTGTGAATACTGCTGAATTCTGCTATATCTTTGTATAGTGTGGTGGTTTATTGCATGGGTTTTGAATATCTAGGACCATAGACTCTACAGTCTCACTCCGCTGTTGATAGTTAGAAAGTTCTTAAGGCTATGCAAAATCTTAGCTACTATTGTTCAGTTTTATTTATTTGGTTTATTGTTGGTTCATTGTTTACAAGGAAATAAAGCTAGACTATACTGATTTTTACAGTGTTCTCTATAGTACACATAGTCAGAATCGAGTTGATGGCAACAGGTTTGATTTTTGGTTTGGTTTGGCTCTCGGGGAAGGCTTTCTCTCTCTGTCAGCTCGGGAGGAATGTCCTTGTCTCTTAAGCTTCTTCCTGGTTCCTTGGAGATTTCCATGCATCTTGGCATTTTCCTTACCCCATCTCTCCTCTGCTAGTTTGTTTAAATTTTTTTAAACTCAAAAGAGATTGACTCAAGATACACCCTATACTAATCCTGCCTCATTAACATAACAAGACAACCCATTCCCAAGCGAGATTAAAGTCACAATCTACTTTTCATATTTTGATGATTGGACACAGCCTTGAAGACTTCTGTTGTGTTAGAGGCCTTAAGATGCTTCATATACAACCCGCTGCCCTCAAGTCAATTCTGACTCAGCGACTCTATAGGACAGAGTAGAACTGCCCCATAGAGTTTCCAAGAAGCGGCTGGTGGATTTGAACTACCGACCTTTGGGTTAGCAGCCAAGCTCTTAACCACTGTGCCACAGGGCTCCGCTTTATATATGTATCATACTAAAAACAAGTTTAATTTTATATCAGTAGTTGTAGTGGTAAAAGACTGGCTACTTAGTCTTTATGCCAGATATAAATCTGGCATCTTTTGTTTTCTTACTTGGCAAATACATGTAACCATTTGAATATTAGGATCAGTTGTAATTTTTAATGAGATTACAAATTAAATAAATTTTCAGCCTGTAGTTACCAATTTATAGAGGGAAAAGGATAGGAAAAGCTCAGCTTCCTAGAGTCAAGGAACAGTGTTCATCAGGTTCTGGCTAAACAGAATGGAGAAACAGTTACATAACAACATTTGAAGTTATGAAAGTAGTACTGAACTGAGCCAGCACAGGATCTTATACATCTTCTAAGCATTATTAATATTCAGGGAAGGGAAGGGTATGGTGCTAATAATGTATTGCGTGCTAAGCACTTTATCATGCTGCATGAGTTATTTAATCCTCACAGTAGTAGAGTATGAGGTATTTTTCCTGAGGTTAGTGTAGATAATCCCATTTTTCATATGAGGAAACAGGCATAGAGCTAGATTAAGAATTTTTTCCCAAAGTCAAACTATTAAGTGCCAAAGCCAGAATTCAAAATTGGAGCTGCATTACTTGAGGACATGACTACCAAATTCAGCTATGTCTTACAGGAAACCTGCAGGAAACACAGTATTTAGATTAATGGAGCAGGCAAAGAAAGAAAACATGAGCATATTTCTTTGAAGAGGTGTCAGGAAACTGCTTACAAATCTGAAAATTTTCTCTGAAAAATAGGAAAAGAATACAAAAGTATGTTATCTAATAATGGTGTTTAGTGCTGTTACTAAAATTTGAAATTTTGGATTAGATACATTTGTGATTTTCAATAATAATTTAATAATCTAATAATTTTAATATTAATGTAAAAGTATTTTTCATTAACTTGGTAATTTTTTTTTGTTTTCTTCAGATAGATTCTGTTGCTGTTAACATTTCAAACTTGGTTCTTGAGAGTCAGCAGCCTCGGATATCAAAAGCACAAAAGAGACGGGTATGAAAGTCATGTCACCAAGTATTTTAATTAGTGATGTGTGCTCAGTACTCTGTTAGGTTGTATTGGAAGGGAATAGGAAAACAGAAATGATCGAGTTCACTTAAAGGCACCTGGACTAATCTTTATTAAGCAGCTGCTATGTGCCATATACTCTGCTAGGTTGCTTACATGAATTCTCACTTAGTCCTGACAATAACTCTGTGAAATAGGATTTCTTATTCTTCTTTTTTAGGTAAGAAAATAGCCCTAAGGCAATAAAATAACATATCCAGTTTGCAGTTCTCATTGTAGGGTTGGACTGGGAAGAGAAGGTGTTCAAAGAATATTTTTTACAAATATATTTGCCTAGGCTTCTACAGCCAAGAAAATCCTGTGGAGCTCAGTTCTACTGTGTAACACATGGGGTTGCCATGAGTCGGAATGCTCGATGGCAGCGGGTTTGGTTTTTTTTTCTTTTGGTTTTCATCCCAGACTTAAAATGCAGTTTCAGTGTGTAGGATCTGGTGCACAGGCATGGTTAAGAACCATGGTATTAAGTGGTGAAACAAGGACATAAAAGTGATGAAACAAGTAAACAGAACATTGTTTCTGTTTACTTGTATAAGTCAAGTGTTGAGGTGGTTTGGAAAACAAGATTATATAGACGTACAAATTTCTCAGAGAATTATGTAGGTACCTATATGATGGTTGGTGTCTTGGTGGAGGAGTGGTTAAGAGGTCAGCTACTATCCAAAAGGTCAGCAGTTCAAATCCACCAGCCGCTTCTTGGAAACCTATGGGGCAGTTCTTCTCTGTGCTGTAGGGTCGTTATGAATTGGAATCAACTTGACGGCAAGGAGGTTTTTGGTATATGATGGTTAGTTACCATGAAAATTCAGCGAAGAGGAAGTTATACTTTATGCTTAGTGTTAAACAATGGGTTGCAATTTGAAGGAAGTATAGTTATTTAGATAGGACGTTCCAAATAGGAGAAACAGCACACACAAAAATGAATATAAGAATAAAGTTTGGAGTCAGACAGATGTGGATTTAAATCCCACTTACTGTTGTGACTTTGGGTAAGATTGTAAGCCTTCTTTAAGTGTCAGTTTTACATTTTTAAAATGGGGGAAAATAATATCTACTTCATAGAGTTGTGAATATTAAATAATACACTGTTTCCAAAGCCCTCATATGAGGCTTGGAAAACTAATGGTTTACTGTGTTAAGTACTGCATCATGTGCCTTTTAAAAATTTCAACCAAGAGCAATATCATTTTTGTTTGAAGGTTGATTAAGTTGTAAATAGTCAAACATTTCTCATACTTATATAAAATTTTATTTTTGGGTAAACGTTAACGATTGTGAATTTCATGGAATCATGAAATTTAGGTTTCAGGGTACCTTGGAGGTTATCTAGTTCAGTTCCCTACTTATGATATACATTCTTTTTGTGATAGCTTCACAATTTATCATTTAGTTTCTATAGATCGAAAGCAGGACAGAATCTTTGCTTGGCAGTGGTTTAACAAAATGTTTGTTGGAATTCCTTCTACTAAGGAATTGACTCTGGCGGTGGACTTTATAGTAGCTTATTTAATTCTGGAAAACACTCAAAGATACAACTCCTTCCTGTCTTTATCAAAACTTGTTCATTCCCGTTTGGACCCTTAGGCAACAAAATAAATAAAACTCCTCTATCTTTCTCAAACATTCTGGTATTTTTCTCCTAAAATACTGCATAGCTGAAATTAATACCTTCTTCAGATATACCCTTAGAAAACTTAGTATATTTCCTGGTCAGCTGCTTGAACACTGGGCAGAGGAAATACCCTAGAAAGTCATGTTCATAGTTTCTTATTACTTGGTTATTTTAAAGGAATTCTGGAACAGAAAAACACTAGAAGTTTATAATACTTTGAAAAAATGGAACTTGAAATCGGTGAGCAATTGAGTACTAGACTGTTTGAAACTCTTTTTGTCAAAGGCACCAAGAAATAAAAAGGCAACTAACTGATGGTGTTTATGTTTGGGAAAGATACAACTCTGGATGAAAAACATGATAAAACTTCAGGAAAATTTACTATAGCAGTGTTTTTCTTGTGGAATATTGTATGTAAATCTCTTTATTTTTAATCTAGAAAAACTTAGGAGTATTGCATTTAATTCAGAGAACTTTAGTAGAAGCTCTTTGGTGTGGTGGAAAGACTCCAAAGTAGAACTTAGAAGAACTGGTCTCCAAAAATAAGAAATTTGAGAGTTGGAATGGCATCTGGTGCACTTTCATTATTTTACAAAGGAGAAAGCTGAGTCCCAGATCATTTCAGTGGCATATTGAAAATTGTATACAAATCCAGGACTAGTACCTAGCTATCAAGAGTCTTCTTCAGAATTCTTTTTGCTATATTACCGTAACTAGTTTTACTGACAATATAGTTGTTGTGTGCTATTTTCGTCTTACATATGTTTTTATTAGACTTTATTGGTACCATTCTATCTCCTCTACTATGGTTGTAGAAGTCAAAGTGGTCTAGTGTTATACCTTCCTGGGAAAAGAATCTTAGGGATTTTCCACCTAGTGCCCTAGAGATGAAACTCAATGGCTTCATAATATTGAAACAAAGCATGAGGAAAAACTGAAATGATTAGATTAGTATTTAGAGGCTTAAGCTGTTTTGCAGATAGAATAAAGTTCTACTCTTCCAGTAAATAGTACATAACATCATTAACTCCAGCTCCCATCTGCCCCAACTTTTATTCTGATTCAGGTGCCTGGATAGAAGGAGCTCTCTGTGTTGTCCTTGATCCCTGCTCTGCTTCTAACCAGCTGTATCAACTTTGGAAATCTTTCTGCATGCTGTTTCCTCAGAAGAGGAAAATGAGGGGTTTTGGATTAGATGATATCTAAGGTGCTTATCTTCCCTCTCCCCTCTAAGATGGTTTTTAGTTTTCCTTTACAAAGTAATAGTGCCATCTTGTGGTTTTTTTTTTTTTTTAATTATTTTATTTTTTTTATTCTACTTCAGGTGAAGGCCTACCGAACAAATAGTTTCTCATGAAACAGTAGTACACATATTGTTTTATGACATTGGTTAACAA